GACAGTAAAGGTTTTTATGTTAATAAATAAGTTTGTTATAAATTATGCTCCATTGGTTGTTTTTGTTTTCTACCAATCTTTACTCTTGTGGCAGTGAGATAGTGTGATGTCTTTACTGGGTTAGTGTAGCTCATTCCTAACTTAACCATTTCAGATCAGAAAGACAGGGTTTCCGAGCCCGTTTCGTAGGAAGACGACGAGTTAGACGCCTAAAGACTTTATAGTTCTATTTATAGTTTTTGTTTCAAGTATCTCTTTTAATTTGCTTATTCTTTCATGTTTTGAGTACATTTTTGGTTATTGTGTAAAGGATGTTAATCAAAATTTTTATTACGCTTTCGCATTTAAGATTTTTAATACATACATCTTCATTTAAAATTCTGGGGCCGTTACACCCCAACCCATATGAGCACAACAATTATTGGCCACCTCACACCCCAATCCATGTGGGCGCCACAAACACCGACCATTCTCATACCTCAACCTCTATGAGAGCCATAGCTAACTAGTCACTACCATACCCCAACCCGTTTGGGTGTTGCTGTTATTTTGTATTTACAGTGGGTTTCACTCCACAACTAAACTATAGCCACCACAAAATTAAAGTAAAATCATCCAAAACACATAGTTAAGTATTGTATAGTTTTCTTAACTTTTCATCACACATTTCCCACTTAACACACATATATGCATATTCACACCTTGTCATTCAATCATTGGCAACTCCAGTTACTCGTCATATGCACTAATATTAGCATCCAACACTATACGGTAAAGGACACACTTACACGTATAACCGCAGCACTCGTAGAGGTTCTTACATATCAACCTATCATCATATGTCTCAGAATTAAAATATATATCGCTATATACATCGCATGTATCATCACATACATCAACATACCATGAACGAAAATATAAAAATCATTATATATCAACTTATCAACATATGCACCCAAATCGAATATCTATATATATACATATGTATATTTGTACATTTTTATACACCGTCACCTATGTAAATATGTCATATATGGAAAATATGTATAAACAGATTACAGAACATGATGGAATTACTCCATCGGTACTTAATTATTATTATTATAATTATTCTTTTCTTTTCATTATTATTATATATATATTTTTTTTTCAAACAACATATCTGATTAAACTTCAATAAACTGTTACAGAAATGGATTCGGGGATCCTTATCAGAATTTGAAAACTCGAAGCATTGCGGCTCGGCTTCCCATCCCTAAGTTTTATGTATTTTTTTATTTTCTTTCCTCTTGTTGTTTTTTGATTTTGCACAAAAAGATTTTCAAAATGCTAATCAGAAGAGAAAAAGGTGAAAAGAAGAAAAGAGTCGGCTTACCAGAGTCGCATTGGGTTCCTAGCTGCCGGCATGGTCGCTCCGCTTTCGGGCTCGAACTCTTAGATGAAATCGTTGATGGATGTTAAAAAAAAGGGCAATGAAAAAAGAAAGAAAGAGTAAAAACGAAAAAAATCACTTATCAGGGCTTAGCTTAGGGTTTCAGTGCGGTGGCGCCACCGTGCTCTGCCACCTGCAGCCTCCTCCAACGTCTACTTATTTATTCTCTGGTCTACCTTATCGGCTAGGATTTTTGGAGCCGACAGGAGTGAAGCTTAAATATTCCCCCTTAATAGATCGACATCGTCCATGTGGCGAAGATCTGTTCGTGAGCGCGCGGATCGCCAGCGTGTCGTTCGCGTTGCATCGCTTGCTGGCGTGGCATCCACGTAGCGTGATCCTACGCGTTGCGCATGTGAGTCAGTGATCCTACGTGGCCCTTGTTTCAAAAATTATAGATTAGCCCCTGGTCTCCTAACATTCTTTCAGTTGAGTCCATTTTTATTTCAAAATGACCCTAACTTTGATATTTTATTTTGGAAAGGTCCCTAAATCAATTATTTCAATTATTTTTCGCATTTTGATAAATTTTGATCTTAATTTAACATATTCACACATTTTTAGTCTACGAAATAAATAAGTGTGCTTCATCCCTTATTACGCGGTGAATTTAATATTTTTTCTTATTTATTTATTTAATAAAAAAATCAGGATATTACAGTTATATTACTAACTAAAAGTCATATCTCTGAAATTGTTAAAAAAATCAAATATATTAAATTTAAAAAATATCAAATTACACTGTCTCAAACTGTAATTTATGTCTAAAACTATTAAAAATAAATTAAATTAACAAATGTATTTATTAATGAAAATTGAAGTATTATATCTAAGAAAATAATAAACGTAATAGTCATTATGCAAAAAGTTATCCTATGCAGTTTTGATATAAGAGAATATAGGTATTGAGGAGGATTGAGTGTAAATAGTATAAATACTATTTTTGTCGGTTCTGGTGGTGGGTCATGGGCGACTTTAACTAGGAAAATAATGTGTGAATACCCACACATTCACCTATCATTACTTATTTTATTTGTGAGATAGTTAATATTATTATTTATTATTAGAAATTCATATATTTATCTATTAAATAATATATATATATAACTAATTATAATATAATACAAAATAATTTTTAAATAAAAATACTTTTAAAACAAAAGAGACAATCAATCATTCAATTCAAGAATGATTGGTGAAGAACATAATAATAAAATGTTTATCGACTCTACCTTTCTAATTTTTGATTTAGACCATTTAAATCTACCCCAACTCCATTCAAAAACACAAAAAAAAAAAAACCACATCAACTTTAAATCTAGATACTAAGTTAGCAGTGAGCATTATTCTGTTAAAACTGAGAAAAAGCAAATTGATTAAGAATTATACATGTAAACGATGAAAAAGAGGACCTTCGACTGAAGAAAAGAGAAGAAAAGAGTTTTGAAATTTCTTCAACCGAAGAAAAATGAGTTTTTTTGACTGATAAAAGTTGGAGTTGGAAGTTCCAAATGATGAAAAAAAAAAAAATTGTTATAAATTTATTTTGTAATTTAAACACACGATGTAAAGTTGTAGGTTTTGGGTTAAGAATTAAATCTGGTTCATGAGCCTAATGGATATAAATCAAGCACAAATAGATAGCAAATTGTTTGTATAACTCATCTTCTACTAACGAATTGATTTCTATTAGTAAAAGTTGTTTGTATACAACTAATATAAATTTTTATAGGATGTCATGCAATTATGGAATAAGAAAAGAACCTATAATAATGAAAATTTCAGTTTGTCTTGATCTTCTTTTAGTAACAAAACCTATCTGACACTAAAAGTGTACTTTACTATATATTCTTCTTCAATAATTCTTCAATTAATAAGAGCTTTATGTACAATTGAATATCAAAAAAGTTATTTTAAATGTTGTAATAGTGATAGTTTAATAAGATATATTTATTTAATCATTATACTATCCATAACTCTTACAACCCTTATAGTTCCTATTAGTCATCTTACACTTACCTTAATCGCTATTTCTGTTATGAACATTGAAGTTG